AAGCCACCCCCTTGTGGTATTTCTATTATAGCAGCACTAGATATCAAAGATCTTGTCCTTTCCAGAGAAGAGAATGGTTTCCTTTTATTTTTTGATTCAAATTCAGAAGATATCTCAAATCTCTATTATGTCTGTTGTTGCTGCTGAGTACAAAACTCAGCAACCCTGTGAACAAAAGATATAAGGGGAGCTCTGGTGGCCTAGTGGCAAGAAGCTGCACTGCAATACCAGAGGCGCACAGTTTGAATCCACTAGATGCTCTGCCGGGAAAGGAGGGACAATCTCCTCCTGTACCAGTCAGATCTGATTTGACGGTACACAGACACACAAAATAATAATAAAAAAAATAAAAAAAAAGATATAAACCCCGTTTTATCTTGTGCCATCCTCATGCTTCCTGACACACAAAACCCCAATACAGCAATCACTGTGTCAATCCACCCGGTTGAGGGTCTTCTTCTCCTTAGCAGATCCACCTCCCTTCCCAGCATTGTGTCCTTTTCCAAGGAACAGAACCTCCTAGCAACATGCACAAAGTATGTGAGGCAAAGCCTTAACATTCCTGTCTCTAGAGAATACTCCAGCTGCACCCTCTCCAAAATGTATCTGTTTGTTCTGTTGGCCATCCGCGGGATGCTCAGTGCTCTTCTCCAACACCACAGCTCAAAGGCATCAATTCTTTTTCTGTCATCCTTATTCATTGTCCAGCTCTTACATGTAGAGTAAGCAACTGGAAAGACTATGGCCTCAATCAGATGCACCTTAGTCCTTAAACTGACATCATTATTCCTCAATAATTTGGAGAGGTCCCTAACTACAGATTTTCCCTATGCAATATGTCTCCTTATTTCCTGATTTCTGGTACCAAGGGTGTTAATTGTGGATCCAAGCAAGATAAAGCTGTCGACAGTTTCAATCTCCTCTCCATCCACCATGATGTTGCCTATCAGTCCAGTGATAAGAATCTTTAGTTTCTTTTTTCCTTTTTTTTTTTTAATTATTCTTAATTTCAATGAAAGTTTACAGAGACTTTGGCTTTCCATTCATTCATTGTTGCACTTTTCTCCCTGCCCAACCCTCCCCCCTTGTACACTACCCTCTTGGAAAAGTAAAAGAAAAAAATTGTTTCATTGTTTTACAATCCCTACCCCCCAGGTCCACTCCACTATGCAGCCTTTGCTCTGGACTCTTGTCATGACAAAACTACCTAATAACATATCCCTTTTAAACAGTTTTTTTCCTCATCTGTTTCAGTGCTGTATACATTATTGAACCCATCTTTGTCAGTCTCCCCCCAACCCCGATGTCAGTCCTGTTTTACAACAGTGACACTATGCAGTATTTGTCCTTTTGTGACTGAGATACTTCACTCAGAATAATGTCCTCCAGGGTCACCCATTTTTATTCCATTGTGTGAATATACCACAGCTTCTCTATCCATTCATTTGTAGATAGGCACCTAGGTTGTTTCCAATTCCTTGCTATTGTGAACAAAGATGCGATAAACATGGGTGTGCATAATCTTTCGTTTCTTGCCATTGAGATGCACTCTATACCGAACGCTTCATTCCTTGAACCTCTGCAACAAGTGCTTCAAGTTTTCCTTGCTTTCAGTAAGAAAGGTTGTGTCATCTTCATAATGCAGGCTATTGGTGATTCTCCCTCCAATCCTGATGCCATATTCCTCTTTCTAGAGTCCAGGTTCTCAGATAATTTGCTCAGCATACAGATTGAACCAGTATGGAGACAGAACACAGCCCTGACACACTTCCTTCTCAATTTTAAACCACGCAGTGTTCCCCTGCTCAGTTTACACAACAGTCTCTTGGGCCAGCTATAGGTTCTGCATGAGCACAATTAAGTGCTCTGGGATTCCCATTCTTCTCAATGTCAGATTTGCTGAAGTATTCTGAGCTAAATTACACGTAACCCCTCATATCGTTGAAGGTGGCTGGACTCTGACAGTTGTGGCGGGGTACACACTTAACTGTAAAAGTAATCATTTCTGAAGGATAGTCTTCAGATAGCCTGCAATTATATGTTGAGTATTTGTTGGGTAAATTATAATACAACAGTATAAACACCTCAAACTAATACAAAAGTTGTTGGAATTTGTGAATTATGCACTACTTGTTTCATTTTTGAGCTTTTTTGTTTAGTCTGACATCTCTTAAAAATTAATACATTAAGTCAGATGGGTCCCAGATATGCTTCTGGAAGAACCATCACTATGGCCACCCAAGGGGAACTCTAAGTCCAGGCCAAACTCATGCTGGTGGGTGATGGTGGCACTGGAAAAACAACGTTCATGAAACATCATCTGACTGGTGAATCTGAGAAGTATGTAGCCACCTTGGATCTGGAGGTTCAACCCATTGTGTTCCACACCAACAGAGGACTGATTAAATTCAACATGTGGGATATACGTAGCCAGGAGAAATTTGGGGGACTAAAGGATGGCTATTATATCCATGTTTGATGTAACATCGAGAGTTACTTACAAGAAATTGCCTGTCATAGGGATCTGTTCAAGTATGTGAAAACATCGCCAACAAAGTGGACATGAAGGACAGGAGAGTTAAGGCACAATACATCGTTTTCCTCTGAAAGAAGAATCCTCATTACTATGATCTATCTGCCAAAAGTAATTAAAACTTTGAAAAGCCTTTCCTTTGGCTTGCTAGAAAACTAACTAGAGACTCTAATTAGGAGTTTGTTGCCATGCCCGCTCTTGTCCCACCAGAAGTTGTCATGGACCCAGCTTTGGCAGCACAATATGAGCATGATGTAGAGGTTGTGAAGACAGCTGCCCACCCAGATGAGAATGACGATCTGAAAGAGAATGAAGCTGGAACCCAGTGTCAGTAGTCTAGTTTTCTAGGGAACTATCCTTTGATGTCAGTGGTACTGCATGTCTGCCACTTTATTATCTAGCTAAGCAGAACATTGGGATGCGGAAGGAGAAGAATGGGCTTCGGAGTGAGTGTGCCAGTTAAAAAAACCCTTCATTTCGGGGGGACGGGTGGGAAGGGAGAAAAGTGCAACAATGGATGAGTGGAAATCCAAAGTCTCTGTAAACTTTTATTAAAATAAATTTAAAATTAAAAATATACCAAAACCAAAAAACCCTTCATTTTTTGGATCTGCATATTTTAGCTGTTTTGGAAGGCAGTCGTTTTCTTCTTGACTTTCAAATACAAGACTGCTACAGTTACATCCCAGTATTCTGTGGTAAAATCTTGTTTGTTACTGTCATTCCCATTCCTTTTTGATTGGAACCAAAATAAAGTTGTATTTCAAACATCTAAGTAAGTGAATATAACCCTTGTTTAAAGATTTTAAAACCTTTGTAAGGGAACTTTGTGTTGGGCTGCTATTTTAAACGTCTTTGTTATTATCATATATTTAGAAAACTTTATCTGCGGTCTACTTTTAACCTTTTTTTTTTTTGAGTTTGTATTTCCATCATCACACAAACTGGCTGGCTGTGACAAAGTATTTGATTAAAAATTAAGTATTAAAAAAAAAGTAAAACATTGCGTCACATAGTTACTAAACTACAGGTTTCTCAAATGTGGAATTTTTTCCCAATTTTGTTCAGAGATTCAGCAGCTGTGCTTCTGGCATTTGACAAGCAATATTAATTTCATTTTAAAATAGAATTTTTACATTTTAAAAAATGGTAATGAAACCCATGTGCGGTGAAATATGCTCGATGCTAAATTTCAGTGCATCGCAGACGCTAACTTTAGCTAGTGTTACTAGGTCAACATTTTTGTGAAGTGAAAGTGAAGTTTCTCTTGCCATGTTTTTATTGAAGAATCTCCAGAGATTAGAAAATAGGCTGTTTTAAGAACTCATGAAAACTGGAACACAATGTAGTGAGTCAGGATTTTCTCTACAGCAGTCAACCGAAACAAGACAGATGCTGAGGCTGACATGATAGAAAATGTCATAAAAAAATCCCCTAATTTTACATTTTTTCTTTTTAAAAATCTTTTATTAATTTCAATGAAAATTTACAGAGACTTTGGATTTCCATTCATTCATTGTTGCACTTTTCTCCCCTCCCAGCCCTTCCCCCTAGTACACTACCCTCTTGGAAAAGTAAAAGAAAAATTCTTTCAGTGTTTTACAATCCCTCCTCCCAGGTCCTCTCATACAGCCTTTGCTCTGGACTCCTATCATGACAAAGATACCTAATAATTTCCCCTCTTAAACAGTTTTCTCCCTCATCTGTTTCAATGCAGTATACATTATTGAACCCATCTTTCTCAGTCTGCTCCCAACCCCGATGTCAGTCCTGTTTTACAACAGTGGCCCTATGCAGTATTTGTCCTTTTGTGACTGAGATACTTCAGTCAGCATAATGTCCTCCAGGGTCACCCATTTTGAATAATATTGCATGAGTTCCTTGTTTTTCACTGCAGCATAGTATTCCATTGTGTGAATATACCACAGCTTCTCTAGCCATTCGTTTGTTGATGGGCACTTAGGTTGTTTCTAACTCCTTGCTATTGTGAACAAAGCTGCAATAAACATGGGTGTGCATATATCTGCTTGGATGTCAGTTATGGTCTCTTTGGGGTATATTTCCAGTAGTGAATTGCTGGGTCAAATGGTATCTCTATTTGCAACTTTTTGAGAAAGCGCCATACCACCTTCCACAGTGGTTGCACCATTTTACACTCCCACCAACAGTGAATAAGGGTCCCAGTTTCTCCACAACCTCACCAGCATTTGTTGCTTGCTGTTCGGTTAAATTTTGCTCTTCTTACTGGGGTGAGATGGTATCTCATAGTTGCCTAATTTTACATTTATATTCCTTCAAATAGCTTTATTGAACCATTTGCATGAAAAGTTAGTTATATAAAAATAGAATTTCTAAAAGAAATGAACGCTTCTGAAATCTTTTTATCCGCTTTATGTTTTGAATGGCCATACACAATTTTACTGTTTGAGTTAGTTATAATATTTAACAACTGTGCTTGCCTCTACAGCGTTCAACACATCGTGGGAAATCTCATTATGCAGCTCGTTTTGGGTATCCCCTTGGAAATGGTGCACAAAGGCCATCGAGTGGGGCTGGTATACCTGGCAGGAGTGCTTGCAGGTCAGTGTTCAAAGGGGATGCAGGAGGGAAACTGCTGCTCATTTCATTCACATGCTCTCATGTTGTTGTTTTGTACTGTCAAGTCAGAACCAACTCATAGCTAATTCTCCAGTAGGTTTTCAGAGACAGTAAATCACAGGAAATTGCCCATCTTTCTCCTGCGGAGCAGCTGGTGGGCTTGAACTGTGTGTCTTTAGATTGGGAGTAGAGCTCCTTACCCACTAGGCCACCAAAGCTCCTTCAGAAGTGAGTTCCTTACCCACTAGGCCACCAAAGCTCCTTCAGAAGTGAAACCTCTGGACCTGGAAGAAGGCAAGCTAATATTTAGACTGAGCTTTTAGTCTGGATTTAGGCAGCACCCTTGTTATTAGAGAAAAAGTCGTTGGTGTCTGTCCTTGAATATCTTACAGTCACATGGGGTTTTATATAATTGGGAACTGCCAGAAGTTTGATGTAAGGGTGTGTATATTAGACAAGAAACTAAAGGTAGATTTCCAGGCCAATAAAGAGCCCTGAAGGTGCAAGCGTTTTGACCTCTCAGTATCTCCACAGGAGAAAGATGTGGCAATCTGCTTCTGTGAAGATTACAGTTTTGGAAACAATATGAGGCAGTTATGAGTTGTAGTCAACTCAACTGCACCTAACAACAACAACAAGAGCAGCAAGACAGTTCAGCTTTGTTGTGTAGGGTTGCTTTGAGATCTTGGGAAGTAATATGGTAAAATTTGAACTTAAGAAAGATAACTTAGAAATGCAGAGAAACATTGTAGGGTGGATGGAAGTGTAGAGATAGGACTCAAAGACCAAGAAGGTTTGTTGTTGTTGTAATGTGCTGTCGAGTTGACCATGACTCTTAGTGACCCTATGAACGATGGCTCTGAGCCTTGCCTTATCCTGTGCCATTCTTACCATCTCGGACACACCTGAGCTCATTGTTACAGTCCCTGTGTCAGAAGCAGTGTTATTTATGACTGTGATCTTTAAAGCTGAGTGTACCTAAATCACCGTGGTGTGGGACAAATATACTAGAACTTCTGCTTATGTATATGTGTGTGCAGGTATTAGAACTGGGTTAAGTAAATATTCTGTTTAAAGAAACATTTTTTTAGATCATTCTAAGTCACACATGGAGTTATAATACTTCCTAGAAAGCCTGCATCCACTTTACCCACTTACTCCCAATGGTAACTTCTTACAAAGCTATAGCCAAACTCAAAACTCATTGCTGTCAAGTTGGGACCAACTCATAGCTGACCCTCTGGCAGGTTTCCAAGGCTGTAAACTGTGTGGGAGGAGATTGCCCATGTCTCTCCCATAGCGAAGGAGGTGGATTAGAACTGCCAGGCTGGCTTAGCTTTTGCATTAGCAGTGCAACTCACTACACACACTACACCACCAGGGCTCCCTAAGCCTGGAGTATAATATCACCATCAGGATCTCAGCCTTGGCACAGCCAAGATAATTTCCAGAACCACAAGTTTCCCTCATGAGTCCTTTTAAAGCCTCACCTTCTCCTTAACCACTGGCAGCTACTAATATGGCAATGCTCTGAATTTCTGTAATTTTGTAATTTCAAAATAGTATATAAATAGAATCATACAATATGTAGCCTTTTTGGATTGGCTATAATGTCCCTAGTGCTACAGTCTCTTCTAAACTCAAGACTGTATATCTGATAGTTCTCTGTTAATGTACTTTTCTAGTCATTTTTGGATAGTTTTCAACAGAGCCTGGCTTCCACGTGATATTCATGATATTGCTTGATAACTTCCACACTCTGTCTGATCATCTCTTTTTTGGAATGGGAATAAAAATGGATCTCTGTCAGTGGGCCAGGTGGTTGTTCTCCAGATTTCTTGGCACAACCTGATGAAAGCATCGAGGGCTGCATCTGTTTGTTGAAATACACCAGTTGGTATGCTGTCAATTCCTAGGTCCTTATTTTTGCCAATTTCTTGAAAGCAGCTTGAACTTTCCTTCTTCATCACCATTGGCTCTTGAGCATATACTGTTTTGTCAAATTCTTCTGTCAGCCAATTCTTTTTGGTACAGTGACTCTGTGTACTTCTTCCATCTTTAGATGTTTCCTGGATCATTCAACATTCTTCCCTCAGCATCCTTAAACATTGTAACTCAAGGCTTGAATGTGTTCTTCAATTTCTTCAGCTTAAGAAATGCTGAGTGAGTTCATCCCTTTTGATTTTCCAACTGCAACTCTTTGCATATTTCATTATAATACTTTGCTTTGTCTTCCTGTGCCCTTTGAGATCTTTTGTTCAGCTCCTTAATGTCTTGATTTTTTCCCTTTGTATTGGCTTCTCAGCATGCTACGGCAACATTCAGAGTCTCTTCTCACATCCATCTTAGTCTTTTCTTCTTCCTCCATCTTTGTAATGACCTTTTGCATTCTTCATGGATGATATTCTTGATATACTCCCACAGCTCTTTTGGTCTTTGCTCATTAGTACTCAAGACTTCAAACCTGTTCCTGAGATCGTCTTTAAATTAAGGAAGGATAGACTTAAGGTTAAACTTTGGTTCTTGTGGATTTGATTTCCTTTGCATATGAATAGTTTATGATCTGATTCACAATCAGCACCTGGCCTAGTTTTCACAGCTAATATTGAGCTTCTTCAACAATTTTCCCCATAGATGTAATCAATGTGATTCCTGTGTAGGCCTTCAGGTAAGGTCATTATAAATAATTGCCATATGTGTTTCTTATGAAACGTATTTGCAATGAATAAATCATTGACTGTACAGAATGATATTATTCTGTCTCTAGCCTCCTTTCTGCTACCAAGTCCATGTTTCCCAAGTACTAATCCTTCTTCCTTGTTCCCAACTTTTGTACCCAGTCACCCATTATTAATAATATTCTGATAGCAACATTTGGTAGAAGTCATCTATTTCTTCTTTGGCCCTGGTTACTGGTGCATAAATTTGAATGATAGTGTGTATAGATTTTATCCTGCCATTCACAACATTGTATTTCAAGATGGATCTAGAAACAGGTGTTGTTGTTTTTTTTTAAATTTTTATTTTATTATTTGTCTGTACCATCAAATCAGATCTGACTGGTACAGGAGGGGATTGTCCCTCCTTCCCCGGCAGAGCATCTGCTGGATTCGAAGCGTGCGCCTCTGGGATTGCAGTGCAGCTTCTTGCCACTAGGCCACCAGTGCTCCCCTTAGAAACAGGTTTTTTAACTATGAATGTGACTCTATTTTTTTCCTCATCTTTTCATTTCCAGCATAGTAGATTGGATGATTTTCTGATTCAGAATATTCCATGCCAATCCATTTCATTTCAATAGTATGTCAATACTTACGTGTTTCATTTTGTCCTTAATAAGTTCCAATTTTCCTTCATACTTCTTATATTCCATGTTTCAATCACTAGTATCTGTTCGCAAGGGTTCCTCCTCATCAGTGATTCCTAATATGAAGTCTCAGTCTCTGTTGCCATATCTGCTAGTCTAATCTAAGGGTGCTTTGTTGTACATCGGGTTTTGAAAGGCCTGTTATTTCAGAAGTGGATGGCCAATCCTTTTCCCCAGTCTGTCTTTAATTTGGGTGCTCAGCTTTGAAGCATATTTGACAGACAAGCATTTTACCCAAAAGAACTGATGAGAGTATTCAGTAACAGGTCAGGTGTTGATCCCTGGACCCCACCCCATCAGCACATGTTGTATTCCCATCCTCACCCTGCCCTACCAGCACCCAGATAAATTTCCTCTCTTTGCACCTCCAGCATCTCTCATCCCCTGTCCCCAGCCAACTCTGGTTTGATGGCTCAGGCCTCTCACCACCTGTGTCATTCCATTTCTTTTCCACTCCTCTGTGCTATTGATGCTCCTGGTTGGTAGTGTAACTCCTTATCACTAGGCCATCAGGGCTCTCTATTAGTATTCTTATTTATTGTTATGTGCTGTTGAGTTGACTGCAACCCAATGAACAATAGATCCGAGCCATGCCATATCTTGTAGCATCCTCCCCATCTCCGATATATTTGAACCCATTGTCATGGTAACTGTGACAATTCATCTTACTGAGAATCTTCCTCTCTTTATCTGACTTTCCACCTTTCCAAGCATGATGTCATTCTCTGAGGTCTGGTCTCTTCTAATAACATGTTCAAGATAAGAGATGAAGCTTCACCATCCTTGTTTCCAAGAAGCACCTTGGCCGCACTTTCTCCAAGACAGATTTTTTTGTTCTTTCGGCAGTCTATGGAATAGTCAGTATTCTACTCTAAGTATGGGAGTATATATATTTTCCTCCCTCCACTTTTTTCATGCTGTGTACCACTGAATCAGATCTGACTGGCACAGATTTCCCTTCCTTCTCCAGTGGAGCACCTGATGGATTCGAACTGTGTGCCTCTGGGATTGCAGCATAGCTTCTTGCTACTAGACAACCAGTGCTCCTTAGTAGTATGTATTTAATAAAGGAGGCCTCCTCCTGTAAAAGATTTACTGCCGCAAAAACCCATTGAGGGTCTTTGAGTTGAAAGTGACTTAATAGCAGTGGGTTTTCTTTTATATATATGTAATATATTTATACTTATACATATATAATCACATGCATCTATGTTTATAAATAAGCAAATGTGTATTGCAATGGGTGCTCATTTTTTTTTTATTTAAAAAGAAATTTTTCTAGCCTTAGAGAACAGAGGTTTTTGGTGAGAGCTGAGATCTGATAAGCTTCAGTGGCTGTGGGGATGGTGAGCAGGAAGCAGTCAGGAATCATGTTAAAGAAACAGAATCAGCAAAGCTTGTTGACGGCCTGACACCCCACATCTCTTCTACTATTTTGGATCCTGTCTTCCTACTTTCTTCTGTTTCTGCTCATGCCCGTTTACCTGCCCTGGAAAGCCTTTAGCAATGGCAAGGACTTGCCTTGCTCCAGCATCTACACCTGTTTTCCTCACCGCGTGACTGAACCTGTGGAATCAGTGCTGCCCTAGTTTCAGAGCAACAGAGAAGGGAGAACGTG